AGCTGAGCTCAAACCTCCGTTACTAATTCGAAAACGTCACTTTAGAACTAGTAACGAAGGAATGTTGAGTTGCTTGTTCGAAAGCTTATTGTATTAACTTACTGTATTAAAAGCTCACTGTATTATGTGAAGTAGAGTATAATGAGAGAGAGAGATGGACTGAGCGAGTGTGATTACCTGCATCTGATACAGCATTCATTCTTCAGCTCAATCTCATATTCACAATAAAACATTAGTCTGAATGTCCGCTGAGGAAAGCGATATCTTTGTCGTACTATCCTTTCATCTGTGATTTCCGAAGACAGCGCTGCTCAGTGCATTTGTTAACACTTAACAGCGTCTTACAAGCTGTTTCAGTCTCTTTCAAAATAAAAGTCCTTACCGCTGACTCGTAAAACAGTCTCTTGTCGCCATAATGGCGGATCAATGTCACTAAAATCACAATCACGAACACACACACTGTTTCCAAATACTAAATTCTACTATATAAAATATTTTTTATTGAATAATACTAAACAACAGCCATAATAAAAGTTGCTAGACAATTCAGTCTGAAGTACAAAGACCCTTCTCGTGCTCTGACATACAGCATTAAAGTTACATAAAATATAACGTGATGAGATTTTGCCCTCAGCCAAAAAAAAAAAATTTGCTCTGAAACAAATAATAGATTAATGAGACCAAAGACTGCCGGTTAGATTTACCCAAAATGAATAATATTTCATGTTTAACCACCACTATAGAGACATCAAGAGCCAGCGGCAAATTCCAGAAGATCTGGCCGAGGTGAGGCTGCTCTCGGCGGGTTCATGCAGCCAAAAAAAAAAAATTTGCTCTGGAACAAATAATAGATTAATGAGACCAAAGACTGCCGGTTAGATTTACCCAAAATGAATAATATTTCATGTTTAACCACCACTATAGAGACATCAAGAGCCAGCGGCAAATTCCAGAAGATCTGGCCGAGGTGAGGCTGCTCTCGGCGGGTTCATGAGCGCTGAATGGCCGCTGATGCCCTAAAGCTCACATCTCCGAAAATGTCAACACAAATTTTCAAATAGACATGATTTTTATTAACAAACCGCATATTTGAAGTCTAAACAAGTACATTATCCCCTAAAAAACTCTTAAAACTACATTCCGTGACACAAAAACAGTACTTTTTGTCAATTACAGTGGATTTGGGGCGCCGCCATGACACTCACTATGATAAATAAATACAAGAAGCAGAGAGATAGAAACGGTGAAACGGTTGGAGGAGTTCTGTTATCACTCTAATATCGCACTCTTATCAGCCAATCAGATTTGAGGACCCACCTGGGGCCGGTTGCATAAACCGCTTAGAGTAGTCTTAAAAAGTTAGTCATCTTTTTTTTTTTTTTAGTTAGTTAGTTATAAAAAGGGAGAATGGTCTACTTTGAATCCAAAAAGTAAGTCTAATTACTTCTTGCTTAGCTAGTTGGTCAAACTAGTTCTTAAGACACAGTCTTAACATAGTGGCTATGTTTATGCAACTGGCCCCTGTTGTATAAAATAAAATATCATTATTAAAATTAAATATTTTTTAACCATTCCTGGAAGAGAAAGTCTTTTCATGCTAAAAGTTTACTTTGCAGCTTTTAAGTTATAGATGGCCTTAAGGGTATCAGATATATGGCAAGAAACAAAAGTCAGTTTGTTTCCTTTAATGTTTTAATATTTTGCACATACTCATTCACAAATAATGTCCATAAACAATAAAATTTAATATTATAATCTTTGAACCAAATTTGCAAACAAATACTACACACTGATCAAATTAAATCTCAATCAGTGCTCAAAATAAATGCTTCCATTCGATTAAATATTTCATCCTATTCTTGATCCGCTGGTTCTTTTAATAGCTCTTCTAAGCTTACCAGTGGTCTGCATTTCACCGGTCACTAATGGGGTATTTATAGCAGATGCATCAGTGGGTGCTGGTATCTTCCCATAGGGGCCTGTTTGGGAATGCCTGTTAGGGCACGGTCACTTTCCTAATATATCCCATATCCCTGTTTCAGCTTCAAGACAGCACTCCAGCTCTCTATTCACAGTGTATATGTGTGAGAGTGTGTGAAACTGTTTATGTATGTTTTGATGCTGTTGATGAGCCGCTTTATGACCTTACAACCTTTATATTGATGACGGGCACCATGATGCGGAGTATGGACGCAAGGGAAACTGAGATCGACCTGAGGGATGCAGGGGATGGAGAGGACGACGAGGAACAACAGACGTGGAAGACACAGCTGGAAACAGTCCTGGAGGAAGAGGAAGAAGAAGATGTGATCTCTACACAGAGTGACACCAGGCCTCTGATCAATGAACGGGACCCAAGACAAATAAATGAGTGTCTTAAGGTAATCTCTTCATGGCCACCTACAGTTCTTCATTGTAGCATTATAGAGTCTGTAGAATGTCACTTTTGATTGGGACAGTGGCTGATGTGGAAAAGTTATTCAAGGGTCAGGGACATATTATCTCATAAATGTCAATCATGACAAACCACTGTTGATTCTAGTGATTGTATAGACTACAGCCTCAAAACCTCCAACCCATCAAATTAACTCACTGCAAAAAATTATTTCCTACTCTGCATTTTTGTCTTGTTTTCCAGTGAGTTTATGCTTAAAACAAGATAAATATCTGTCAGTGGGGGTAATAAAAATATGTAATTCAAATGGAAAACAAAGATTTTGTTCTTACCCCATTAACAGATAATGTTTTAAAGGGGTCATATGATGCGATTTCAAGTTTTCCTTTCTCTTTGGAGTGTTACAAGCTGATTGTGCATAGATAAGATCCCTGAAGTTGCAAAGACTAAAAAAAGTTAAGTTAAGACTCTGCCACGCCCCCCTAAAACGTCTCGTTCTACTATTGACTGTTCAAATGCGGAGTTTTGCAGCTTCATCACTGCGTCTGTCACACGACTCTGTTCCCCTTTCGGGCTCTGTCATTACATTTATTTTGAAAGATGAAGCTCGCGATTCTGGTAAGTGGCGGTACATTTTCGACGAGTGCTTGTGGTGTTCGGCCAATCACAATGCACTGGGTCAGCTGGCCAATCAGAGCAGACTGCACTTGTCGGAAGGAGGGACTTTGTAGAAAACGAAGCGTTTGAGAGAGGCGGGGCATAGAGGACCTACAATAATGTACAGTATTTGAAAAATAATGTGTTTTTTGAACATTAAAGCATGTCAACATATTCTGTTACACCAAATACACAAAATAATTATCTTTAAAAAAGCATCATATGACCCCTTTAAGCATAATTGTGACTGATTAAAAAGAACCTACTGACAAATATTAAGCATAAACTCACTTGAAAAAATTTTTTTCCCAAAAGCAAGACTTAATATATCAAGTCATTCTCCTTCTCAAATAAATATCTCCTGATTTAAGAATTTTTAAATATCTGTAAATAAATAAATAAATATTTTTTTTGCAATGCTGGATTTTGATCAATCATACTTCCAAAACCTTTGCATTCTATGACATTTTTGGCAGGTCAATTAGGTTGAATTAGATTCCACTTTGTTGAATCCACTCTAATCCAAAGTAAGGAACATTGTCCTGACATTGTAGACAACCACAGCTGGTAGCAGGAGATGGATTAGAAGAACATGTGTGAATATCTCCAATGATGTGGACAATAATAGCAACCACTTCTTAAATGAGCTGACCAGACAGATTTACACAGCTATTAAAAACTAGCAGTAGCCACTGCAGCATTGTTTATGTTATAAACTGTTGCTAATACTATTGCAGTTTTCAGTTTAAAATACTGCACTTAAGAGGTTAAGATTCATATCGAATGCTGTGAAGTACCACAGATGGAGACGGTCCATTCATAGAGAAATTAACATATACACTCAATACTGCAGCTGTAGCCTTTCATTTAAACAGCGAATCAAGCTTAGCTCATTTGTTTTAGAACATGTATGTGCATTAGCTAAATTTAATATGACAATTGTGATTTAATTTATTTAGTGAAAATGAGCTTAGCCAACGTTAGTCTCGCGTAGCCAGACCTTCAGACTGACGGCTGAAGGTCTGGAATCCATGGCAGCTTTCATTGGCCAAGGCCCGCCCTTGCTGATAAGCGCTCGTCGTCACAGTTGTAAACACGACGGCTTTCTTCTTTCGAGGGGGGGGTTTGGCGCCACGGCCTCTTTGTTTCCAGGCGAACGTTAAAGAACGCGACATAACACGTCTCCCGGAAATCCTGTATAATTCAACCAATCCGATGACGACTTCGAAACTCCTGAAGTGTTTCCACTTTTGCATGCATCAGACGTTTAGCCAACGGTCTGTGGGCGTGATGTCTGCAAGGCTGAGACTAAAGTCAATGTTAGCTTAGCCAGCTTGCTCTCCCTATTCATTTAAGCTAAATTTAAATGTCAAATAATGTCTAAAATGTCAAATCAAATCTAAATCATGATTTATGAATATTGTTGTCGTGTTCATTAATATATGATAGTGAAAGATTTTTAGCTTAGACAATATTAGCTTAGCCAGCTTAGTTTTTCACGTTCATGTTAAAGCTAATGTATTCATACATTTAAATGTAAAAACCATGTCTAAAATGTAAAATCAAATCTAAATCATGATTTTATGACTATTGTTGTCAAGTACGTTGGTAATATGGAGGTACGTTAGTGAAAGATTAGCTTAGCCAGTGTTAACGTAGCCAGTTTTGGCCTTCCATATTCATGTAGCTAATAGTATCCATATATTTAAATGTAAAAATCATGCCTAAAATGTAAAATCAAATCTAAATCATGATTTTATGACTATTGTTGTCAAGTACGTTGGTAATATGGAGGTACGTTAGTGAAAGATTAGCTTAGCCAGTGTTAACGTAGCCAGTTTTGGCCTTCCATATTCATGTAGCTAATAGTATCCATACATTTAAATGTAAAAATAATGCCTTAAATTGTAAAAATGAAATCTAATTCATGATTTATGACTCTTGTTGTCAGGTTCATTGGTGATGTTAATGAAAATTAGCTTAGCCAATATTAGCTTCACCAGCTTAATCTTTCCATTCATTAAAAAGGTACTTGAATATAGTGTTTATACTGACTAAAATAGCTGCCTAGGGGCATTGTTCAAGCTGTATTTGTTTTAAAGCAGATGAGGGCAGGAGATGCTACTTTTCTGAATGTTCTGTTCCGACAGGTTAGTTTTGAGGATGTGATAGCAGAGCCGGTGTCGGTGCGCAGTGGGGATCGGGTGTGGATCTGGAGTCACGCTCTTTTCGAGGTGTCCAGGGCCTGGTTTTATCGTATCATCACTGCTCTGCTGGCTGTTCCAGTGTCCCTCCTCGCTGGAATTCTCTTCGCCGTCCTCAGCTTTGTTCACATCTGGTACGAGTAGATCCTTTGAATCGAATCCATGACCTTGGCATTTTTAGTAGTAGATAAAAAATAGACATTTGTATCAGATTAAAAAAAAAAAAAAAAAAGAAATGCTAAGCTTTCACCTTTTTCTTTGTTTTAGGTTCTTTACGCCATGTGTGCAGGTTGTCTTGATTAACACCGGGTGGTTGCAAACTTTATGGAGCAGCGTTTTAGACATAATCATCCTACCCTTCTTCCAAAGCATAGCCAAGTGCTGCAGTGGGATTAGTGTCGTTCTCACACGGGAATGAGAAGCATTTCTCTGGAATCTGCTGAATCCATTCAAATGGATATTCACATTGAACTTTTGGGCAGATGTGTGGCCATCTGACACCTGGTGCATGTCAAGGGGGACCATGCCCAAATGTCAAGCGTGATGAATGTTAACTCGCTGGCAAAAACTGAGAGGAAGCGGATATTTGGAAATGCATGATGTTTGCTTAGGTATGAATGTAATTTAAAGGGATAGTTCCACCAAAAATGACGACTCAACTCATGTTGTTCAAAACCCATGTTATTTTTTTTCTTCTGTGGAACACAAATGTGGACCACTTTTACAGTGCTTTATATACCACCTTTTATGGTCTAAGGAAGAAATAACGTCTTACAGGTTTGCAATGACGTGAGGGTGAGTAAATTATGTCAGAATTTTCAATTCTCAAAGAACTAGCCCTGTGTGTTTTGTACAGACTTTATCAATGTTTTCTTTTTGTCAAATAATTTCTTAATTTCCCACTGAAGGTGCCATAAAATGTGTCTGCAGCTGGTTGGGGTCGAGCTATCCTGCCTTTTGGCAAATGATTATGGTAAAACATATTGCTATTAACATCCGTTGTGTGTTTTGATGACCTGTTTTGCATTGCATTGAGGACACATTGTGTGTTCTTTGAAGTATTCTCAAAGCCCTTTCATTTGTAAAATAACCAGTTGTTCCCGACTATCCAATTAAATGCGTCACTCATCATATGCAAATATGAGGCCACCAAAATAATAGTAACAACTGATTCAGTAATATACCGCCCTCTGCTGTAAACGATCAATCTGCCAGTCATTTTAATCTGATTATCTCTATTCTAGCGCACCCTTGAGATCATATCTCCTTAATGCCATGTTCTTCCTAAAGTGACATTTTAAAGCATAAGCAAAATCTCTCAAGGTCTTAAAGTGACAGTTCACCCAAAAATGAACTCTGTCATCATTTAAATGATTTTCAGAATTTTCATTTTTGGGAGAACTATCCCTTTAACTCAAATAAAACAACTCCACCAGAGCTCAGGGTACAGATGCATCATGGATCTATTAAATAATGGCAATCAAATGGGTGTGTCTGTAACTTAGCAAAAGGAAACACAAACATGGCTGGACTCATCCCGTGAGAATGTGTAGATCCTAAAAACGGTCTGATATACCAGTATGTTTCAATGGATATCTAAAACGTTGCATTTAACAAAAGTTAAAAAGCAGATTTTGCCACCATGTACAGAACATCAACCTTTATTTTCATATAAGGAAGCCATCAATAGAAAATACAAGGAGATAAGTGAAGGTTTTCATTAAAGGGAGATGTTTGAGAGTGGGTGGATGTACAAATGGTCGGTGGACCAACTAAAAGCGCGAGTGCATACAAAAGTGTAACATTTCAGTCTGATCCAGTATACGTAAAAACTTCTCATAGTACAAAAATCAACTGTAATTCACATTTTTGTGATCAACTCTTACATGTTACTTTTTAATTAAATAAAGAAATGGAGTGGAATGAAATGTCTAAAGTAACAAATCATAAACACATTTGACCCTAAAATGAAAAGTAGTTCCTCATAAATACAGAAAACACTTGTACACCTTTTGGCCTGGTGAGATGGTTTTAAAAAACTCAAATTCCCAATATCTGTATGTTTTACATGGCAGTATTGGACAACAAAAACAATTGTTCAGTCTATATGACAACTGAAATAAATCAGGGGAAGTCAGAAACCATGTGTTGAAATTTGAAGCATAAAGGACTGACTGAAACACATGTGGAGGAAAGGGTAGTTTATGCCACCTGAATCATGTGGCCCACTGTGTCCTCTTCAGATTGATCCTGCTCAGATTTCTGTGAGGAAAAAGGAAGATGATGAAAATTTCATCAATACGACATGCTATGAGAGGGTGACTGGAGTTGAACTCTTACCTGTTTGAACCATGAGAATTTTCTGATCAATGTGTCTGATATATAAAATATTAGTGATTGACTCAACTCTAAAATGCATTTCAAACCATCTATGCGATTTATTTATCAATGAACGAAGCTAAAAATATATAACATTTTATATTGAAGACTTAGTCTATAATGCAACTCTGCACAATAAAAATGTAATATTTAACCCTTGTGCTGTGCTGAAAATCCTTTTACCTAATTTGGTGTTCCCAAAAATGCCCGGCTTTAATTGCTTATAAAACTCTCATTATGCTATATTACCACCAACTTGTTTTCTTTTGATCAATGAGGACTATGACCAATCAGTTCCAAAAAATAATTACAAAACCTGTGTTAACTAAAAGAAAACGGAAAAGACTGAATCTAATATTTGGTAATAATACAGCCTAATGAGAAATGTATTAACTAGTTATGGGGAAAAGAAAATCCTCTCCAGGTCAAAATGACCAAAACTCAACATGAACTTTTTATCAGCATGTAAAAAAACTGCAAGGCATTACTAACCAAGTATAAATCAAGAACAAAGGTTTATTTGCATAAAAAGGGCATATATATATCATCAAGTAACAAACATGAATGCAAACAAAAGCCCACATACAGCCCGCTGTAAGAAACATAAAATGGCAAAAGCAACAACAAAGCCACAGCTCTGGCAAAGACAGAAGAGCGTTAAAGGGCGCAAGCCAAGCCATACATCACTAATGAAAACACATCATTTTGAATGGCTATTCATACCAGTAAGATGGTAAAAAGGACAAATAAACACAGCTTAATACATCTCAGTGGCTATCACAAGCAGTCTGGGTAGAAGTTTACAGCATGGTACGACAAACGGCAGAAATGCAGACAGAACAAAGACGTCAAGGTTGAAGATTTCCTTTTAAAGTAGCAGTCAGACATTTAAGACAAGAAACCTTAAACACTGACAGGGCAAATCGTGCTAATCACCCATGTTTACAGCTGAGGTTTTCTGAAAGAAGCCGTTTCCAATTAGAGTTCAAACATACTATCTTTAAGCTGCACACAAAGATATGCAGCTAAATAATGAAATTATTAAAGGAAGTGAAAAGCTACAAGGCAGCCTAGCAGTTACAAACATGGGGACCAATCTGTACATTGTATTTGCTCATACTATATACTAGAACATATATACTAAGATCTTAGTATGCATGTTCAGTTTAATTGGTTGGAAATGTCAGTTAACTCACAGACAGAGACAGTTTGGACATGAATGTGTCACAGACGCATGAGGTAGCTCAGGCAGAGCCGCAGCGTATGGATGGTCTAAATTAAATTAGGTGTATAGAGTCTCTCGGGTCGGACACAAGCTGGGATTGGATAGTTTACCCCAGAGGCGGGGCAGAGCTGGCTGGCCAATGAGAGCTGAGCTCAAGCCCCTCGCTCACCTTAAGGGCCTGCATGGCCATTTCTTCCTTTTCCTTCGGAGAGAAGAAGCGTCCACCGTCTCCGCGCTTCCTGGCCATGGCGTGACGATGACGGGACTCATGCAGGTATTTCTGGAAGGGAGTGGGAAAGAAAATATACTGAATATTCACATACATGGTGTGTTGAACAGAAACCTGTCAAATATGGAGATTTTTAATAAAGTAAATTAAACTATTTTTAATAAATTACAGAAAATGAATAATCAGAGTTGCTTTGTCATGACAAAAATAGTGATTAAACAGATGCAAGAAAGAAAAGATCAAACATAATTCCATATGCAAATAAATTCAAGATAGAATACAAACTGCAACTCAGTATGCAAATACTTTAATGATAAAAGTTTCAATTAAGTTCTTTATTCAAGCAGATCAGGCTAAATTAACTGCAGTAGTTTAATATTTTAATGGATTTAGAACAAACCTTAAGCAAAATTTCCCAAGGAATATCAATAAAAGCTGCAGTATAATTATTGAATTGCATTAATATTCTTATATATAATGGGACAAATAATATTAATTATGATATTATATAGCCATTTCTATCCTTTAAAGAAATTTTAAGAATTTTTAGAAATGAGTTTTAAGATGAAGCCTGAACTAAAGGTTTAGCTTGTAAATAACCAGAAAAATAAATAAAATAAATAATATTATATCTAAAGAAAATAAAAAGGATATGTGTGTGTTTGTGTATATATATATATATATATATATATATATATATACACACACATATATACACGCCAAATATTATTAATATTTTAAATGAATTCATTTATTATTAATACAGTTATTATTAAGGTAAACAAAATTAATAATCAGAACTGCTTTGCGGTTCTTAAAACTATATATATAATATACTATGCTAATATAGCACTTATTTATTTATTAATCCAAATATAAATGTAAATCTAAATATAATTAGATATAGATATTAGATAGATTATATATTAGATATAATCTAATATAACATTTGCATATATATATATATATATATATTAGTCACTGCACATAAAGCCATTGAAAGTCATTGTTATTGCTGTAAAAAAAAAGCACACATACTCTTCTCTCTTTGGGTATTTTGCCCTCAGCTTCTAGTTTGGCACGGGCTTGTCTTCTCTTGAGGATCCTGTGATACTGTTTAGCGTTGACGTACAGAGGTTCCTCTTCCAGCATCTCTGCTCCAGGAAGAGGAATGCGCTGCATGGTGGGAACCGACCCGCCAGCCCCTGGGACCATCTGATGCAATTATGAACACACACAATAAGGTTAGGAAGTGTGATCTAAATAGATTAGCTGTATAGCACAAACTCACTTTTGGTAATAGATAAAAATGACCACAAGTGCTCACCATGACCATTCCTCCAGCATTGACCATGTTTCCTGCCATGGGAAGTGTGACCGTCACTGTGCCCTGACCCGTGTTGGTGGTGTTTGTGTTGGATCCAGCTGAGACTAACTGAGCTCCTGCTAAAGATGCAGCTGGAATAGTGATCATTCCTGGACGGACAATCACAAAATGCATTATTTACAAATGCAAATTATTTACATGTCATCAGTAGTGCAAACACATGTATATTTAACTGCTTAAAAGTGCATGATGTTTATGGCTTAATGTTTTGCAGAGGAGTAGCAGTGTTACCCTGCTGTAGGATGGTCCCGTCCGCATTAACAGGCTGGTAAACGATGGTCTGTCCTTCAGCAGTTTGTGCTAACTGCTGACCCTGCACAGTGATTTGCTGCTGACCCTAAGAAAACATTTATCATGAACTTTATTAATAATTTGTATTTAACTGCAAGCTTGCAGAGTTTATAGAGGCTTCTCCTACATATTTGCACAAAAAGGTGATAAAATGAAGTTACCTGGTTCTGTCCTGCAGTGACTGCAGTCTGTGGCTGTTGAATGATGATTTGTTGGGTCTGTCCCTGCTGACCCTGTAGCTGTAAAGTCTGTCCACCAGGAAGCTGGATTTGACTGGGTTGTACCAGCTGAATCTGTGCCACATTTGGTCATTTCATTACAATTTCATACCCAATATTTTGATGGAACACTACGTTGCAGTGGTTCTCAAACTTTCTGACTGGTTCTTAAACGAAATAAACTCATCATGACAGATGCAAAAAGCGCAAAGGTCACAGATATCTGATATTTTAACATTGCATTAATTACTATTACAATGCAACTAGCAAACGGATCTCTGTGCAATGCAATGTTGAGATGACATGCATGGAGATTTGCAGACATGCTCAGAGAGCCAACCACTACCTGAAGGACCTGCTGGGCCGCAGTCTGGCCTACCTGAGGCTCAGTCTGCAACTGCACCGCAGTCACTGTGCCCTGGGCCAGAGATAGAGGACTCTCGAATGAGTAAAAACACACATAAAAACATTTCTCCTGTGGTTTTATACCACACTGAGATGCTTTATTACTAGATATATTAAAAATACTAGTCTATGCATTTTTTATGCATCTCTGATGCAAATTTAATAGGGTACTGCATTATCCACTTCAGATACTGTCGGTAAAGGTCACAGATTACCTGTTGTTGGATCTGTCCGCTGCTGGCCTGCAACACTATCTGCTCTCCACTAGCTGTTGTGGTGGTGGTGTACTGCTCCATGTTTGCCGTCTGACTGCTGCGGGTTATGAGTAATGAGATCAGCACGGAACTGAAGTCTGAAAAATAGCAACAAGTCGTTGCGTAAATCTGAAATATTATGCAACAGCACATGCATCTAATGCAAGAAGCTTAAAAGAGGATGCTTGACTTAATTGCTGGTTTACAACAAACATCATTTTAGTATCAAGTCAGCTTCTTTAAATTTTATAAGATTTTTTGTAAATTCTCTAATAGCATGTATTAAATTAATTCCCTGTATATATCATGTGTTATGTTACCTTTGTTTTCTAATACAGCATTTAAAAATTGAGACTTATTTACTCAATTGTTTAGTAAATATTTACTGACTTATTTAGTACTAAAAAGTACCATTGTATAACATTATTTTAGACTTGTAGCACTATGGTTCTCTTTTTAGTACTATATAAATTTATAAATGGTACATGAATATGACAATTTTTAGTATCATGGTGTATCCAAGGAATACTAAAACTTTGATACTTGATACTTTTTTTTGAAAGAGAGTATACTATAGAATCACTTTTGTGATTATTTTTACTCCCTCTCCCTGAAAAATATGAAACATACAAAAAAAAGAAGAAGATTTAATAACCTTTTTGTTGTGTGATTATTAAAGTGTGATACTCTCAATATATTTCTGTTCTGCTTTTTGTCCTGGATTATTGTTTTTGTATGCTTAAAAAATAAAGAAATAAGGGGGGGGGGGAACAGTAAGAAATGAGACCGTGTTCTCAGTTAAAGAAAAACATTTATCGTTTAAAACTTTGATACATTTTCATTCTCAGCTGAGAAGCAAAAAAAAATCTGTTCCTAATCACTAATCAGATTTTATTCTGTACATGAAATACATGCAAATCTTAATTTATTTACACGATTGACATATAAATGTTGTGCTGAATGACATTACAAGAAAGTAGGACACATTAAGCTACATAATATCCAATTTCCAGGTGTAAGACCATATTTGTAGTTTTTTAAAGGACGAGATAGCATAGAATCACATGTGTATTTGCTGCTGCAATGTTTGATTATACAGTGATGTAAATATAGGAAACGATAGGCAAAATGATTTCCTATTATTAAAAGTACAAGAAAACACTGCGTTTGAATTTCAGTGCTAGTTTCTATTACTATCAGTTTCAAGCGTCGTGTCTTTGAATCTCAGACGGTTTTGTTGTGTTGTTTCTCACAAACGAAACTACTTTTCCCTTTAAACAGCACGTTTCAAATGACTACTTAATACTGCAGTACTTATTTGGTGTACATAACGCTATGGTGTCTTGCGTTTTCTCTTTGTCTAACATTGCTAGCGCTACATTAGCACATCGACCTCAGTGTTTTCATGTACGTTACGAGCGAGTTTTCAAATATATATTTGGTTTAAACCAAATATATATGAATACTTTGTTTTATTAACTCATCTTTAGTTGATTAAAACCAAGACATCGACCTCTTAGGCACTGTGAAAGTCAACGAATATTTAACAAAGAGCGGCGCAAAACTGGGCCTAAATGAGACGCCAACTCGGCGTAACGGAAAAACAATAAAAATGAACCATTTATCGACACTGTTTATCATTTTAACCACATAAGTGATAAACGTGCGCATGCCGTCCACACAGTGGACCTTGACATACACGAACAGCACTATTCCTGTTTATAATCGCGATGAACAGTAGCTCAAACGCCCCTCCTACAAGACAAAGGCCACGCCCCCTCTCAACCTCTACATGTCTCTGACCAAAGCAAAATAGAAATAAATAGAGAAATAATATATTACATAAAAATAAACAGAGAAACATTTAAAATAAATGGTAGCACTTTACAGTAAGGTTCCGTTAGTTAATATTAGTTACTGTATTAACTACCATGAACAAACAATGAACAATACATTTATTACAGTATTTATTAATCTTTGTTTATGTTAATGAAAATACAGTTCATGTTAATTCACAGTGCATTAACTAATGTTAACAAGCACAACTTTTGATTTTAATAATGCATTAGTAAATGTTGAAATTAACTAAGATTAATAAATGCTGTAGAAGTATTGTTCATGCTTAGTTCATGTTAACTAAAGTAGTCAACTAATGTTAACTAATGAACCTTATTGTAAAGTGTTACCAAATAAATATATAAAATGTAAGAATAAAACCTGTAGGCCTACATAAAAAAAATAATAAAGTTGAAGTTAATGAATAAATGAGAAATTTATACAAACAAATTCAGTGAATTCAGGACGTTTTTCATTTTTACTTTATTAGATTACCCTATGTATAGGTTTGCATGATTTTTTAACATTTCTAAATTGGATGAATGAACGATCCATTAAAACTATATATAGCTTATAGAATGGCAAGAAACCCCAGCTATTATACTTTTACGGCAGCAAACAAAATTATTCTATTACTGTACAGTTCATATATCATATATAATATCATGAATAGGACAGTGTTCTCCAAGTTAAATATTTTTTTCATGTGATATTCATATTTTCTAAATTGAGAAAAAAAGGAAAATCTGTTTATAATCAGATTTTATTCTGCATTTTAAATATATGCTGCTCTCATTCTATTTACACTATTTACACATTTGAAAATACGAATGCTGTGCTGTTTGACATTAGCCAACTGCTGTTTATTGACCTTGTAGGTTTCTCAGTACCGTGCAAAATAAGGAACAGGGTTGTTTTTGCACCTGCTGTAATAAGAGATGCAATACCCCTGTGAAAGTCTTTATGAATTCAGTTCACCTTGGTGCATCAGGGTCAAGAACCCACTTGATTCAAGTCAAGCCAATGAGCGTCGACTTCAAGAAGAGTTTTTATTTTATTTTATTGTTGTTGGCAGTCACATTTAATGGTACAGCATTTTACACTTTGACTTCAGAAAAGCCATGTTCATCCATCTCAAACCTGAGGACCCTGCTTTCAACATGCAAACCCATCAATGAAATGTGTGGTCCCCTGTTTTCTATAACCCCTGAGGTATCTATTTTATTATCTCTTTATTACATTTTGTGTCTGTCCAAATTAAGCCGTGGGATTTTTTTTTTTTTTTTGGAAAAAAAAAAAAAAAAAAAAACTGCACTCAAATCTTAATCAGCTTAATGGCTACAAATTAGCTTATTTAAGAGTTGAAAGTCAATACAGACCAAAAAATATACATTTTCATATTTGATTAGGCTGCTAACTAGATGCACTTAATATTGTCGATATCCTAATGAAGGATGAGTTGTTGAAAAAAAAAACACTTAATGTCATAGTTAACATTAAAAGTGTTGTCTTGTTATTGAATATACAATTATTGCTGACGTAGCAAAAAGGTCTCAGACTGATACCACATTGCTATTGTCTCTAAGACCCATTATGTAAGGTCCGGCATTTTAAGATTATTAAAAACCACACAATGGAAAGGAGGAAAGGAAGAATGTATCATTATTCGTGCATAGAAGATATGCCAATCTAAGCACACAGCAATGGCAGGGAACCAGACAGAATGCAAAGTAAAATTTGTTTTTTGGAATGACTAAAGCTTTGCTAAACTAGATTCTTGAAGATCCGAACTGTAATCCTCAGGATGTTAGTATAATAAAGCCTACAAGCTCTACAAACAAGGCTCAGTGTACATCTATGGTGAAACTCACACATGAAACCTCCAGGGAATGTTAAATATTACCTTTAAACACTTCATATTCATCTAGATTTGCTCACACAGTAACTCTTGAAATAATGAGCAGGCTATTTTCTGAAGATGCTTCTATTTTTACAATGGATTTCAAAAGCAGACTTCAAGGAGACCGGTTTTCCTAATATGAAAAACAAAAGCTGAAAATCCTTTGGTGAATTTAAATACCTGATGCAGGAAACCAGCAATGAAAAAAATAAGCACTTACATCAGTTTTAACCACACTTCAAAGCTCATGTCTGATGTATCCTCTTTTCCCTAAATTATACTCCAATTATAGAGGCCTTCAAAGTACTACTTAGTTAAATAATACTCCTCAGCCATTTGATTTTGTGCATCAACTCGCATAAATTTGAAATATATGGCAACAAAACGGCTTCAAATCCTTTAAAAACATTTATTATGGGTTCCACAAAAATATTAAGCAGCACTGCATTCAACATTGCTAATAATAATAAATATTTATTGAGCAGCAAATCAGCATATTAGAATAATTTCTGAAGGATCATGTGATCAAAATTCAGCTTTGCCATCAGAGGAATAAAATACATTTCAAAATAAATTCAAATAGAAAAAAAAAAGTAATTTTAAATTGTATTAATATTTCACAATAGTACTGTTTTTACTGTATATTTTAACATTAATAATAATATAAAAACCTACCAGTAGCTCTGTCCTCAGCAAATTACTAACGCATTTCTTACTCAGATCGATCTCTTTTCGTTCTGGAGTTATTCCTCCTTCACAGTGATCCCCAGGAATTTTCCGGTAACTATGGTCACAGAAAGGGGAATGTTAACACTTTGTTTACAGCATTTAAGTAATTCTATGACAAAAACATTAACTCTTACACAACAATTTTGCATATGCGAACCAGTTCAGTCAATCAGGCTCACAGATTTTCTAAGAAGTATATATTCAGCAATACATGCAAAAATAGCTTACACCTGCTGAACGTTTCAATACAACTCCGTGGAGTGGAAATAGAGAGTGATTTGTTACCCGCTGGTCTGGAGCTGCTCTTTGCGTCCGTGCAGGCAGAACTCCAGTGAATGGCCAATAAGGTCGGGCTGCTCCACACAAACTGAGCTGTTTTCCGCATGGTAGAACCCAAAGTCACTGCAGGAAAAAAGAGACAATGATTGGAATCACAGACTGAATGTACGTCATGAATAGTATAAATGAATCACATTGTAGTTCACTGAGTGTATTTGATAAGTCGGTATGTGTTCGTACCACTGAAAGTCAGTGAGGGTGCAGGGACATGTCGTGGGCTCCTTGGTGACAAGGTAATCCCGCCCATTCCAGCAGACTGAGTCCTTTCGTAACCGCAAAAACCTTTCCTTGTATCCCAGCATGCACCCATCAGTGGGGTCACTAATATCGCTTGAGTGAGCGAGCCACTGGATGTAGTCATTTTCCTGACCTGCAGCAGTAGTATTTGGTCATTTCAGGGCAATGTTTACCCATTTTCTGAATGTTAACAAATGCATGCACAGCAAACTAGATTCTGTGTGTTTTTATATTAGTTTATGAAATGTTTTTTCGAAATATTAGACCACTCACAGTCTCTAGAGAGCAAATGCCTGAAGTCGACGGTGACAGAAACCCAGTACTGATTCAGGACGGTTTCCCTGTAGCCCCACAGGCTGACGTTCATGGAACGGGCACCAGGTTCTGATGCCAGGCCAGTGAAGTACATTGGATCATCAGTGAAGTTATGCACATGCCAACACTGACCTTCATCAGTGGAAAACCTAGTGACAATAAATAATAGAAATAAACAAAAATGGAAGAATTAAATACAAAATAATTATAAAATGTAAATAATTAAAACATACATACGAATATTTATTTTTATATACTAGTTTAAAAAATCGTAAAGAGATTATCCTTATTTGCACTATTTATATTATATTATATTAATTTAATACAAAATCAGTTGCATTCTAACCTATTTTCAAGACATAACCATTTAAATAAACAGGGCACCACCAGTGTTTCATTTGTTATATTATCTTTGGAACATTTAACTCACATGCTGAGGTCAAAGCCTTATAAACATACAGAAATGTTAGACAGAAAGCTCACTTGATCTGTGATATGGGGTGTGAGGGGTTGTGTTCCACCGCTACCAGCAGTCCTCCTGAATCTAGTATGGCATAGTGATGGGGGCCTTTTAGTGCCTGAAACCATGTGTAACCCCCGTCATCAGACACATACACGTCTGGAGAAAGCACAGAAACTGCACCTCCTACACTCCCTGATGAAAGAGCAGATGGAAAAGAGACGTGAGTTGGAGAAAAGCAGCAGCCCTGTAAAACTCCCAATCATACCATAAAAGAGTGTTTAAAATAATAACATAATCTAATAATAATTATTATTATAATAACAATAATAATATAGTTATATATTCTAACTAACTTTAACTTCAATTCTGTAGTTGGAGGAACTAAACAGTGGATTCGTCTTCAATAAAAATAAAATTAAATAAAAAAATAAAACTCTGCATTATTCACATAGCTGGAAGTGGTGAAAATGGTTATTTGAAGGTTTACACTGAATGTGAGTCAGGGATCGTTTTGCCTCGTAGAAAGACATGTGATGGAGAATGTGGGCGGTAATCACCATGTGCCAGGATGAGTCCCACGGCATTGGGCTCTGAGAGGGGCTGCACGGGGACGTTCAGTTTCATTGAGATGCTGTACGAGGCATGAATATGCAGACTACACTGCAGAAGACAGAGATGCATATGAGATTAACATGAAATCACACACATTTACACACATAGTGCTTTTTTTCAGTAACAAAATGAATATTAATAAATCTGCATGCATCAAATATCAAAGGGATAATTCATCCAAAAATGAAAATTTGCTCACCCATGTCTGTCTATGCAGGATCAGAAAGCTCTCAGATTTCATCAAGAATATCTTAATTTGTCTTCCAAAGATGAACGAAGTTCTTACGGGTTTGGAACGACGTGAGGGTGAGTAATTAATGACAGAATTTTCATTTTTGGGTGAACTAACCCTTTAAGTTAACATCATTAACATATCCACAATAATAGTTCATAACAGTCGAACTGACAGTCCCTTGGGAAGAGGCCATTAATGAGGCCTTTGAAAGAAAGAAGCTGCGATATGCCAACTTGGCAGCTGAGGCAGAGGTGCGGGGCTGGACAGTGAAAGTATACCCGGTGGAAGTGGGCTGCAGGGGCTTTGTGGCTAGCTCCACTATAAGGCTGCTGAAGGAGTTGGGCATCAGAGGACAGGTCCAGCAGAGGATAGTCAGGGAACTGGCTACTGTCGCTGAAAGAAGCAGCCAGTGGCTGTGGCTGAAGCGGATGGACACAGTGTGGGCTGACAAATGACCATGTAACAAAGTGGGGACACCCGGGTCTGATCAGCCTGTGGTGGGCCTGCCTCGGCTGAGGGTGTCTTGTGATAAAGGGCCGAAACACCCAATGAGGCTGGGGTACACAACTGATGATGTGTTGCATTGGTGGAAACACCATACAAAGGTCATTGGCAACATCACCTCAACAAAAGGCATCTTTCACCCAGGCTAAAGTTCGCACAGAAACTGGGATCTGATTGACATCGGATAAGGCGTCTCACTGGCAACATCCATGAAAGATAAGTACACATCATGTACAGCATAACATATCATCAAAACGTCAAGAATTGTACTGTCTTCATCTATCCATCTTACCATACTAGTCCTTTTTCTTATTGTTCCCCATTCACGCATTAAGCAACTGTAAATTCACGACTGATTATTGGGTATTGAGGCAAAAACCACGGACATGGATTAGGCCATCATCCTGGATTCTTGCTGAACCAAAATCAGAGCGCAACAATTGCTGCGTCTCGCTGTGTTCTGCTCAAAATGTTCTATGGTGCGGCTAAATGGTGCTGAATATTGGGATCATAACACCTAGTCCTATCATGCAAACAAACACAAGAGAAGAGGAAACTTTAAAGCAAGAAACACCGAAGTTTACATTTTTATTGCGGTATCGCCACAATTAATTGATATTGTGGTATCTTTGTGCCAAGTGTTTTAACTCGGATGAAGCGTATGAACTATTCTAAGAACAGTAATAATGACTCTGTACAACAAATGCTGGACATTTGTTATACTGTGATACTGTATATTCAATTCAACAGTCAATTTGTCCTTTTATGGTCAACGAGACCAAATGTTTGCAAGTTGTGTGCTGTTCTTAATGTTTACACACAATAAACACAACAGTCCTCCAAAAAAGTTCAGTTTAATAGTGGCATTCTGTATTTATGGTGGATTTTCCTTTGATGACTTGCGACTGTCCTGCTCAAGGACACAATCGTGATTTCTTACTAGTTGTTTTTTTTAGGGGAACAAACCAGAAACCTTTTGATTACTGGCTCTACTACACCACACTACATGTTTTCAATGATTTATGTCTAAAATAAAGTTGTGGCTATGTCATTTCTGTGAGGCTCTCACCTTGTTTGGGTACTCGGTTGTGGAGTCACAAACTCCGTTCCAGGGTCTCTGCAGTGGTTGCCACTCTCCACCTTGATTAAATGTGATCACTGTCTGCACAGAGCCATCTGGAGAGGGAAGATACACAACAGCAAATATGAGACTTATAGAAATTCTTCCTAAATGTGTTGTTATGATTACAGTCACAGCCTTACCCACAGCGAGCACACTGGTCATATATACGCCCCTCAGAGAGGTGATGTTGGTGAAATCAGTGTCTCCGCCTGTAGTGGTGTACAAATGGCGTTCCAGAGACTTGGAAAACACTGTACCTCGGTCATCCGAAACATATATGGTACCAATGCCGGAGTCTGATGGAGTAAAAACAATTGTTAGTAACCAGGTTCTGATGAGGTCAAAGTTACAAATCATATATTCATATAATATTGGCTGGCCAGGAATATTATATGCATAGCACAGAAAACTCATTGTATTAACAGTCATCTTTTTTTCACGTTTCCTCATTTTTAAGGTTTTATTTCAAAACATATACAAAATCCAAACCAGTGCTGTAATTGTTACCAAAATCTATAACCATTAAAACAGTTTGCATTCATTGAAATAAAGCTGAAATAAAATAAAGTGCAAATATTAGGCAAAACTTTAGAAATGTGGCCTTAATTCATTGTAGTAAAATAAGTTGAAGCTGTAGTACTAAAATGACTAAGACTAAAACTAAAATACAAATAAATTAAAGCCAATTAGAAATATAAAAAAAACAAACTAATAAAAATAAAAAAGCATATAAAAAAATAAAACTTAAATTAAAATTAAAACTGAAAATATAAAAATAAAAGCTAATTTGCTAAATAAAAGCTACAGCTATTGCTGTAAGTACTATAAAAGTATAAAAATATAACTAAAATAACACTGATCCAAACCTCAGACCTAAGTGATCTGATACATATCTGTATATTGCATAGAAACATTATTATGGTACTTCATATACTGGAGATTTATTTTGCTGAACAACAAAACTTCGCTTCACCTCCAGGTTCATCTACGTGCATGAAGACCATATCGTAGTTTGCGGCTAGAATGGAGTAGAACTGCTCGTGTCCAACGGTGGGCAGTTGAGCCATATCCCACGTCTCCCCCTGATCTACTGAGACATGAATCATGCGTTTGGAACCCTGAAAATAAAAGAAGTGTTTCTGACATCTGCATGTGATTTCAACCTCACACGACACACTACAGCTCTAGTCAAACACCTAATAAGACGCCTGGCTATATACTGCCTACATAGACAGCATTTAATATATTTCAAAATATATAAAAACAGAAAACAGTTATTTTAAATGGTAAGAGTTTACTGTATTTTTGATCATATAAATGCAGTCTTGGTGAACGTAAGAGACGTCATTCAAAACATTTAAAAAAAACTTGCCATGCAGCCCCAGGCTTTTGAACAGTAGTGTATATGTAATGATTTTGGTCAAAAGAAAGTATCTATTTTTTATTAAATGTTATCTAAGTAGGCAGCAAACAGAATTGTACACACTACATCGAAACTAATGGGGAGAACTCACAGAGTTGGTCATGACTGATGCAAAAACAAAGCGTCCACCCAGGCCGAAGGAATAAATCCTGCTTCCTATAGTTTTGAATGTTTTGCCATAGTCTAAAGATTTTCTCAATTCAAGTGTTCCCCGGTCACCTGAAAGAGAGACAAATTCAAAAATATGACGAATGAGGAACAGCCAGCATCAATTTCCAATATTGTGCAAATGATCCTGAAAGTTGTACTAAAATAAAGTCACTCACTGCAGGATCCATTGGGGTTTGTGGTTAAGAATATGGTGTCATCCATTCCCCTGAAATGACAGGCAAACAGATACAATGAAAAATGTCCATCTAGCCATCCCAAATTCACCACTGCAAACAAAAGCCATCTCTGTTAGGGATGGTTCAGAGCTAACCAAAGGCCTCAGTTTCTTCAGTGTATGAAATCAAATGTAATGAAGATATATTTATGAGTGCTAGGATTGTAAAACTAAAAGAAATTGCTTTATAATGCATTTAATGGTGCTTTTTTTTTGTCCTTTTTGGAGCCACACATGTTTGCTGTTTGAAAAACAAAACCTTAAACATTCTGTTTTTGAGTGAACAAAGTAAATGATTCTGGTTTGGAATGACATGGGTCTCTTCATGGCTATTTCAAAAACCATATGTTCCATGAAAAAGCTCTAATTTGATGTTTAGATAAACAAACAGAATGAAATATGTTCTCGTGTGAGAACTGTAACCTCAAACTAATGTACATTATAAAAATGAAATTGAAATAGATCATGCTTCATTTGACAGTAAATAGAAATGACCGGTTATTAAAATACTTAAACCTAAATTAGCTCTAGGCAGCGATGAGATTCAAACCCACAACAAATATATAAATCAGAAAGCAGTTGGACACACAGTGATCAATCACAATGAAGAACAAAAAAGACTTTTTGGATGAAGAACTCTTGCATATTGCACATAAAAATATCAAGATATTTTTTTAAAGATGCATGCTCCAATTTCCAGCAGTCAGGATCGATGCACAGTTTTTCTTAAAGTGGGAGGAAAATCGTATTTACAAGTTACCAGACAGCAGGGTTTCTTACAATAAATCTTGGAGATATATTAAAAACTTACTTAGTAGCAGCTAAGCAAGCTAATCATTAGCAAATCTTGTTAGCATCCTGAGTTATATAAAATTTTATATTTAGCTGTCACTATATGTGGCATAAAAAGCAAACTGGTCAATCAGATGGTCAAAGTGGGCCAGAATTAGCTGCAATATGGCCCAGACCTTGCCAGTAGTCAAAACTCTGGCTACAACTCTGAGACAACTGTTACGGATTCATTTATGCATATTAATGGACATACCATTTCACAAGACAAACAGTCTCATGGATCTTCCTCCAATTGGCCCCGAAGTCCTCAGACAGCCATAAATCATACTGAAAAAAAAAAAACGTATTAGTACATGTTCTTTTGCACAAAACAGTAAGGAAATGTCTAATCAGAGGTCTTACATTGATGCTGTAGACCATGAGTATGTTGCTGTCTCTGGGGTTGTATGCGATCTGCATTAACGGATGGAAGGGAAGCTCAGAGGTCACAAAGCTCTTGCCGAAATCAACAGAACGGAAAATTTTAGTGACTCTCCCCTCGGTTAGATCACCTGTGAGGATCACCTGTGGGACAGATCATGAACCTGTTCAGTAACTAATCAAAAAATTATTGAAGTGCAGGAAACTTGGTAAACACACTTATAATGGAAAGAGAAGCATTTAAAAGCAGAAACATAAAGCTTGAATCTTTGCTAAAGTATCTTTAGTTAAAAAAAAAAAAAACACTACACTTCCAAAGTTTGGGGTTGGTGAGACCTTTTTTATGTTTTTGAAAGAAGTATTTTATGCTCACCAGGGCTGCATTTATTTGATAAAAAAATACAGTAATACTGTAAAAAATATTAGCATTTAAAAAAACTGTTTTCTATTTTAATATATTTTAAAATGTAATTTATTCCTGTGATCAAAGCTGAATTTTCAGCACCATTACTCCAGTCTTCAGTGTCACATGATCCTTCAGAAATCATTCTAATATGCTGATTTGCTGCTCAAGAAACATTTCGTATTATTATCAATATTGAAAACAGTTTGTGCTGCTTCATATTTTTTTCAGGATTCTCCGACGATTAAAAAGTTCTAAAGAACAGCATTTACTACAAATAGAAATCTTTTTACATATCTTTACTGTCACTTTTGCTCAATAAAAGTATACATTTCTCAAACAAATGACCTCAAACCTTTGGATGGAAGTGTATGTTTGTTACTAGAGCTCATCCTTTTGACGTGGGACTACTTTTCCACCTGTATGAACTTGTTTGCTTGTACACATCAAAATTTCACAGCACACCACAGACACTTTCATTACATTGAAAATAACCCGGCATACTCCTTTCAGATCAGTTCAATATTACAGAAGAGAAGTAAATAATCACCTTCCCGGAATTTTCAGGACCAATCGCGATGCCAAACTCTGTCTGTATGAAGGTGTTGTTAATAAGGTCGGTGATGTCCTGGAATGTCTTTCCATAGTCTTCACTGACCCAGAAGAGATAAGAGGGAGTTATGGATCATGTGATACAGCTAAAAATCAATCAAATGTGTACCAACATTTACACTGGGCAAACGCAGAGCAGGAAGTGGAAGGATTCATTACACTCTGTGAATTGCATCATTAAAAACGGCTAAATCCTTCTAGCTAGAACTTGGACACAGTCTTAAAAGACACTCTTACCTTCTGTACAGTCTGGACTGACCAAACCGCATGATAAAAAGAGGAACCTGGAATGTGGTCAGCACCAGCAGAACCTGCACAGGAGAGGGACACTGTGAATATTATAGCATGTGCATGTGAAAGACTCAGAAACTCACAGTGCAGTGAAGCATTCATAGAGATTTAAACTCTGGCTCGGCCGAGATACTGCGGGACACATGCCTGGACTTGAGCACAGTCACAATCTCACCCTTCACACTTACTTTATTCAGCTATCACTCAAGTTCAGGCGCTTGCTTGCAGAGACGATTCTGATTGGACGGTGAGAAATTCTCATTTAACTCCTGTCTCTATCTTTTAAAGTCAAAATGAAATAGTATTTGCAATCCATTCTACTTCCATAATGTGACATTTCCCCCAAAATAAATTAAAAATCATTAATCAGTAGTCCACACTGTTTAGGTGTTATCAGCTGAAAAGGAAAGTCGTTTCAGAGGCAGAGTAAGTTATTATATTTAAATGAAAATTTACAACAGCAAACATTTTTGATGAATTGCGTATTAAATAACCCGTCAAAAGCAAAGCTTTATGGCTTTTAGTAAATGTCTGTTAGCTTTCAGGGCAGACAAATATGCTAGGCTAAAGGTTTTTAAACTGAAAAAAATAGAAAAATACTATTTTAAAAAAGATGAAAATAAAGAATTGCATGAATGAATGAATGAATGAATGAACAAATAAATAAATAAATAAATGACGTTTTAAATTTCTCTTTACTTAATAGAAAGTCAATAATTAATCTTTCAGCCTTTCTCTTCTGGGAAAAATGGACCAAAAATATTAATGACTCGTTCTGCACTATACAGATTTTTGTCTAGTCATATAGTTTCTACATTGAAAATGTAAACTAAAGGTTATTTAAAACACAGGGACTTGAGGGATTCTTGTCTTTAAAAACGCAAATAGTATAAATTTTTATTGATGTTTCTTCTTACAAAACAAAGATTTCTGGGAAGTCCTTTCTTTGCATGCCTGAAAAAAAAACAGGTTAAACAGAACAATATTTGTTAGAGGTGCAATAAGTAATTGCCGAAAGGGTGCTAATTATGACGCCTCAAAAATAGAAAAGGTGTTTCAAAAGGCGCCGCTCTTTGAAAATGTTTGCACAGACTTAACAGAAATGCATTCGAGTGTTGTTGTTGCTGGGTGAAGGCTGGGCTGCAGGAGTAATTACAGCTTGTACATGTTTTACAGCTGCACTTTGGTTCAGTTGTATAAGAGACGGATTCAGCCTCCAGTGTTGTTGGCGCTAAATGACGGTTTGAGGTCTTGTCAAGCCAGGCTATGAAGAGTCTTTCAGGCTCTGGAGCTGTAATTCACTTGTTCCTGTTTCGCATTGACGTGTGATTGTAAGGCCACATTCCTGCGAGTCAGATCATGGAGCGACCACAGATCAGCTTAGTAGCTAAATGACTTGGGTTGAACGTACAATTACACATTTTTTGATCGCCTACTGGTTAGTAAACATAGTGGAAGTAACTTAGTGAATTAGAAGGATTGAGGCTAATTAGAAATTTGTTGGTTCAAATCCCAAAGTAGAGAGGAATTTTAAATCAGGGCCCAAATATTTCTATGGGTCTATGTGTAATACAATTTAAATGTAATTTACTCTTGTGGTGGTAAAGCTGAATTTTCAGCATCATTACTCCAGTCTTCAGTGTCACAAGATCCATCAGAAATCATTCTAATATGCTGATTTGATGGTCAAGAACATTTCTTATTGTCAATGTTGAAAACAGTTCAAAAGAACAGCATTTACTCTTTACAGTCATTTTTATCAATTTTACACTGCCTTGATGAATGAATAAATAAATAACATATTGACCCCAAACTTTTTAACGGTATATTTAAAGGGTTAGTTCACCCAAAAATGAAAATTAGCCCATGAATTACTCATCCTCAAGGCATCCTAGGTGTATATGACTTCCTTCTTTCAGACGAATCCAGTCGGAGTTATATTAAAAATTGACTTTGATCTTTCAAGCTGTTTAATGGCAGTACGCGGTGTTGCAGTGCATCAGTCCAAAAGAAGTGAAATAAAGCGCATCCATCCAT